CTGCCGGATGTTATTTTAATGGCAGATTCTTTAGAACATTTTAAAACGAATACTTTCATACAGAAATGTCGAGGCTATAATAGTTTCCAAATGGGAAGCGATTATATTTCACCAATAACAGGACTGAGATTTCGCGCGTTCAGGCATGCCAAAATGACAAGTGATAAAGATGCTACACGCCGTATAGAATAGTGGACATCTTCATAGTAATAATAAATCGACACTTTGCCAGAAGTTGAAATATGTAATTTTTACTTGAATCATGTTTAAGATGTCTTACAAGTATTATTCGTAAAAATATACTAATGCAATATACTAATAAAATATACTAATGCGTAGAGAAGCGGCAAAATATATTATGACAATGTTATTGTAAATTTATACAATAATCATAATATCATAAAAAAGTGACATTTATAGAAGTACCTTTATCACTTATCATTTCGACGTGCCTCAGCGCGTGAAATTTCAGCTCTATTATTGGTAAAATATAATAGCTTCCCGTTTGAAAACTATTGTGGTTGCGTTAGCTTCGCGTTCACAAGATCTTAGCCTTATAGTATAATCGCGCTCGCAGTGGGAAGGTACACACAAGAATTGTACTCTGTTAGAAAGATAAGAACATTTTTATTGTGAGTACAAAAGGTGTGTGTGTGTCGTATCTGTATGTATTAGTGTTATTCTCGCGTCGTGGTTCCCTTCCAGGGGCGGATCCGTGGAAGTAGATCTGTCTTCCGGACGGTCCCAGATAGTGCTGGCTTTTTCGGCGAGCCGCCGTGAGCTCGGAACCTTTCTGGCCGTGCGAGCTTGCGTGGTGACACAGAGTGTCTGACGGCGCTAATGCGTGGATCCGGGTTCTTGGGTGCCGTCGGAATTCTGGCGACGCCTGGTATGAGTACCGGCTTCCTTGGCGACGTCTGCGTTGCCCGGTGAGCCTGGGCCGGTGATGACACCTTCTCGAGTGGAGACGAATACCGGGGTGAGAGCGGTCGGCAGGCTCTCACGTCCCAGGTTATGAGTTTCTCCAGCGGAGGTCGGGTGCGCCTAACTGGAGAGAGGCGCAAAGGTATCAGCCTCCATGGATGGAGCGTCTCTACGAGTTCTCCTCTCGGGCCGTCGTCCCTTGTCAACGAGGGCCGTCTGGGTGGTACCCCGGTGCGTGGTCGCTTCCGTGGTGACGGTGTTCGGGGTAGCCGCGTCGGAGAGGGCGTCGTCGGCAGGGAGGACCAGGAGGAAACCGGCGAGTTGTGTTCTGGTCCTATTGGTTCCTTGGCCGCATCTTCCTCGCTATCGGTCCCGAACAACTTGCGATATCGTTCGCGGAGCTGTAGTCGGGCTA